CATTTTGTAGTATTTCACGCGTGTAATATAGTGCGTTCCCGTGGGTATAATACAGAGACGATAGGTAGAGATAGAAGAACTACAAGTACATGTTTTATTTTGCGAGATCGAACAGGACTCCTCTGCCTCGTACATGATAGAAACTGCGGCGAACTTTCTGTGATTTAAAAAGAAATCCCCCCCGTCTTGCTTCATTTCTACCACGAGAGAAACTCGTACCTCTCCATTCTACTGTAAGATTTCTCTCTCGAAACTGGAATATTTCGAGAAATAAATTATTTCGCGTAGAACTTCCACAAGCGTTTATATTCTTAATGTCTACGAAGTACAGATTTATTGTCATCCTAATGCATTAACAATATAGTTATAAAAGCAATTAGAGTTTCAAAATTTTGGCAATCCTGTAAATTCTTCAATTATGTAAAGTCCATAAAATTTTTAAAATTTATCAAGCTGTAGTTAAATTATTGATACAAGTGACATTAAGATGTCAAATTAAATGTTTATGAAAATTTATTACAAATCGAGACGCTGAAGGTCTTCTTTTCATACTGACCAAACGTTTTTTATCTACTATGACGATAATTGAATGCGCTATAGAAGGTTCATAATCGCCTCAACTGATTAGGATTAGGGACACTATTGTTCTCCCTTAAACAACATGACTTAATACTGGAATGTTTTCTAATAAATTTTCTAACTTACAATTCACGTTTGATAAAATAAATAATATAATTTAGTTGATATTATTTTAAAAGTGTTTCTTTAGATTAGTGACAATTTCAGATACATGACTTTTATGCTGCGATCACGTCGAGCAAAGCACGCAGGTAGGATATGTAAAATGTGCTTGCGATTTTCTCTGAGAAAATTAAATTGCGCAATATTGAAACTCCTCATGTACCGCAAATCTGTTGGGTCGAGAGGATATCGAATCGGATGTAAATATATATATGGCTACATTGAATATTTCCGCTAACTGGTATTTTCTCCAACGTTGCAAATGCATAAATTCCTGCTGTTTCTTTCAGCATCGTTCAGAAAATTATGTCAGAGACCAAGGAAGCACGCAACCTCAAAGTACGATAAAATCAATTGGATTTAATGGAAATAATTCGATTTTCTATAATAACCGAATATAGTATTGTCTTTTGCTATATAAGATATCGAAATAATACGATAAACAATTGTCGATTCTTCAAGAGATTCCTTCTTCTCTCGACTCCTTCCGATGCTGTCGGATATGACGACGACGATGATGACGATCGCACGTCGTCGCGATGTGAAATAAACTTTCGTACTTCCTGTAATTTGCAGTACCGCCTAAAATCGATCCATTTAGCTTTCCCGACAATATCCAGGCGGGCGCGCGGGTGCATGTGACCTGCGCGGTCAGCGAGGGCGATTCACCTCTGAAGATCACCTGGCTGAAGGACGGCAGGCCGTTGAAGCCGCGGGAAGCTACCACGCATCAGATCGGCGAGTTTGATCTCGCGTTGAGGATACAGAGTGCGTCGACCGCGCATAACGGCAACTATACTTGCGTAGCAAGCAACGATGCCGCCAAGACGTCTCGCACGGCGTCTCTCCTGGTCCATGGTATGCAGCAACCGGCCAAACCGCCAGATGCCATGCTGGAAATTCTCCCCGTCCCTCATAGCCTATATCTTTCCCGAGCTTCCCGTTCGAAAGGAAAAATTCGGAGCTCGTTTCACTGGACTCCTTTTATTTTTAAATTCTCTTACTCACGTAGAACGTTCTTTTCAGTATGGACATAACATAGTGAATTATTACATCCTTATTGTTGGCCAATATTAAACAAGGATAAAATAATCTACTGTGTTACACCGTGTATCCTTGCTAGAAAACATCGACAGATGTAAGAAAAAGTTTCTCTTTTAATTACATCTCGATTTATATTTGAGTAACTTAGATGTAAAAATTAAAAGGATTGCATATCTTCATCCTGTCATTTTACAGATGTACGCACGATGTGTATAGTTAAAATTTTTTCCTCCTAAAACATTGAGAGATTTATTGTAACTTTATGAACCAATCTCTATAGTCGACTCTATAACAACCGCTTTTACTTCCTTAGCCGATGCGGCATGCTCGGTTCTTTTTCTCTGAGTTTATTCCGCTAAAAGCTCTCTTCCCGTACTTGGCGGATATATGCATGTTTTCCCATTGGCGGTTCGCCGGCAAATGCCGCGATTGTATAACGGGAGAAATAGAGAAAAGGGCGATGATTGCTATTAATCGACGCGTACGCCAAGCGGAACCACTTGACCGGGTGAATCTCGCACACAAAACGTGAAAGAGGAATCCGGGATGGAAAAATAACCATTGCGCCTTCGATGGCAAAGTGAAAAGCGGATATTCTCGTGCAAACTTCCCTCGGCTCGTCAAACGGTCTGACAGCTTTTTTTCTCAATGTGAAACAACGAGATCCGATCGAACGTGATTTAAAGCGGAAAAGCGAAGTTTCATCAAAATTATGCGGCTGTGAATCCCTCCGCGATTACATCGAGCCACCGTTTCATAGACGAAAGTAGAGGCGAGATATTTATCACTCAAAGACCAAAAAGAAGAATGAGACCGCGTACATATAGTTGCATTACAATCTCTCGTCAACAGACGAGACATCCCCTTAGCTACCCACGCGTTTACATTTCCCCATCGAGGACGAGGGTGTGCATTAAAAGGGCTCCTTCTTTCGATGAGCAAATCGCTGCGAGCGAAACGACGAACGAAGCCTCTGTCTACAATAACGAACGTTACGTAGGAACAAATCGCTCTAGGGTGATTACTGTGTCTCGTTGACAAGCAAACAGGACAGATCGCACCTCTTTCACGTCTCCTACGTGCGCATTTACTTATTCCGTGCTGCCATGTACGTGACAGAATAAAATTAACCCACAAGTGACTGTGCTGTCAGAAATTAGTTTCTTTGAGATAATTTTATTTAATATGTCTTCCTCGCGCTCTCATGAAGTGCTGAGTTTGCAGAAGCTGAAAACGCTATTTAAAAAAATTGGAATTAATTTGAGCATTGGATTACGCTTCTAAAATCTCTTTGAAATCGCTTTCCAATCGTTTCTAAAACCTCTTTTGAATTGCTCTTTTTTTTTTACAATGAGAGATTTTTATTTCGGTACTTAAAAATCGCGAGTGTTCATCGCGCGGTCGTTATTTTAACATAAAAGGATCCAGCGTTCGCGTAAGTTAACGTCACGTGCTCGCTATCGATAACGTCGGGCGCCAATTAAGGATCGTCGACCGCCAAATTATCTTCGGCAAGGGAGAGAACTCTCACGTCTCCGCTCTACTTGCCGAAACTATGCGACGAAATTTATCAACGCGACGTCTCCGGCAAGAGAAGCTTCTTTGTTACCTCGCCCGAGAACCTCTCGTTCTCCATTCCGCGCGTCCAACCTACTATCTCTCTCTCTCTCTCTCTCCGCCTTTGTATGTACATGTACATGAGCATTTATATATACGTATGTATCGCCGCGTATATACGCGCGACAGACCTCTTTGGGCATTACTCACGTTACGCTGCGCTATCTAGTTCCCTCTACCCGCGCGGTTCCTCAATTATTCTCAAACAACCGCCCGCATTCTGTTCTAATACCCGCGGGGCTCTCGTGTTCCCCGCTCGCTGTACGTACATACGTATCACATGCGGCGCAACGAGGCAAGTTATTATTGTCGTTCCGCGGCATTACGCTCGTCGCGACGTACCCTATCCGCTACCCTATCCCTCCTGCATCCCCTTGTCGAAAAGTCGACAACCAGGCACGAAAGGGGGATCCCCCTCATGCTCCACTTGATTGTTTTCACCGTTCATGTATCTCGCGAAATACACGAGCGTCCAAACACTCGAGAGACACACATATACCCGTCGTTCCATGCAAACTCGGAAATGTAGTTAATGTCCGCCATCATAGGTCGTAACCCTTTCGTCGTCGGTGATGCAGGAAGATATCGCGAATTGTTCTCGATTCGCGTGGATAAATAAAATTAATAAAACGAAGAGGGTGAGGTAAATTGGGAATAAATGACGATTATTTACGTTACGGAAAATTCGTACGTGGAAAAATCAACGAATGGAGAATAAATTTAAAATACGTTTTACGTGAGTGAATATTATTAATATTAACCGCGCGAGTCGAGAGCCGCGTGTATCTCATTCGACGTTGATGGAATAATGAAATATTTCTTGCCGCGTTATTTTAATTTCGTCTCTTTCTCTCTGCCCTTAATTCAATATTATTTTAATTCCAGTACAAATACACTTACGCGACCACACAACAAATACAACACGGCGTATCTCCGGGAGGATAATTAAACGTCACTCCCGAGGTCTGCCTAACGATCGATACCTAATTCCGTCCATAATGATGGAGTCATGTAAGTCGAGCACCGCCGATATTGGTGACTAATCCTTGGTACACTATCTTTTACCTCGTAATATAGAATATTATTATTTAATAATAATTAACATCTTTCGCTTTATCTGACATCTGTAACGAGACGGAAGAAATTTGAGACTCATTAAACTTACGGCGTTCAGTAACTTATCAGAGCCCGACTATACTATAGAGGTATAGATCCGCCGTTGTTAACCGATCCATGAAACTAACCTCGACGAGTTAAACTACAACTAATCTCAGCAGTGTGTTTTGCTTGACAGCGTGTTTCTCTGTCGAAACGCGCGGATCAATTTTGGGTTCGGTGAACGACGACGGACAAAATTTTATCCGAAGCGACGCGACATTCTCCCGTCGAATCGTCTGGACGATTCAATTATTTTGCAAGTTTGTCTCTTCACAATCCTGAGTCGAATTAAGCTAAGATTTTCCAGGCACATAGGTGACGACATCCACGACGAAGAAGGCACGAAGTCATAAGCAGCGACAGAGGAGGCTGTCCGGATAAATTTATTTTCATTCACACTCACAATCATCTGTCTCTCTCTCTTTTTTTGTGCAGTTCCGCCCACAATAGCCCCTTTTAGCTTTAAGAAGGACCTGTCGGAGGGTCTACGGGCCCAGGTGACTTGCATGGTCGAGAAGGGCGATCCGCCGTTCACGATCATCTGGTCGAAGGACGGCGAGCAGATATCCGCCTCCGGCACGGCGGCCGTCGCCTACGGGCCCGCCGCCGCCGCCGCTGCCGCAACCATTAACGATCTCCGACAGCACTCTCAGACACCACCTGGGTTGCGCGTAACCAACATTGACGCCCATTCCAGCGCCATAGTTATCGAGCGCGTCACCGCCGCGCACACCGGCAACTATACTTGTCTAGCGCGCAATTCGGTGGCCGAGGTTCTTTGGACGGCCGAATTGATCGTTCATGGTAAAGTAAAGTAATCGCACACCACGCAGAAAACGCACCGAGCCTGTGTTTTTTTCTGTCTTTCTCACGTCACTGTTTTGCACCTGGCAGCGCACTATTGTCTCTGCGACGATACAGACGACGGTGGGTGAACGAGTCTGGAGAATGACAGATCCAAAAAAAAAACATTTTTAAAAGAATTTACAAGAAAAAAGGATAATAAAAGATGAGCTACTGAATACCAATTTGATAACTTTACGTTATGCTCTCTACTTTAATTGATTGTATAACATAAAATTTGAATTATTTATATTTTAACTTTTTTGATATAAAAATAGTATATTATAATTACATTCTGTATAGTTCTTGTTAAGCTATTTATAAATGGATGATAATATTTTTACCGCAAAAGTATTTGACTTCATTTCTCAATAATCTCAGTCAGTGATGTCTGACCGTACAGTATCTTTAGCTACTGCCGACTAATTGAACAGCCAGACTATGCACCTTACAGTCGCGCAATTTAGATAAATTACCACACGATAAAAGAGATTAATTTTCTATATATCCAGAGATTTACGAAACAAAAATCAACAACTTTGCGAGATTTAAATGTCGAGTCACTCTCCGATTCTATTCACCCGCGGCTGTTGTATTGTCGTCACTTAAGCGCAGCCGCAGCCGCCGCAGCAGCAGCAGCCGCCATCGCAGCCATCGCATCGGTCGGAAAATAGCATGAAGTAAGAGTCACGCACTAGAGCTGCGCTCGAATTTTGTGGACGAACCAGATATCCGGGTACCGCGACGAGGGTATTGACACTGTCGATGGATATCAAGCTCGTGCTCACGTTCAGAATTGATGTGTGCGCTTAGCTTTTTGTCGGTCCCGCCAATATTTTTTTAATTTATAAAGTAATATCCGCGTCCCGTGAATTGTTACACTCCATTAAGTAAGAGATCGTTGCAATTACGTTAATATTAGCAACGTAAGGAGCTGATATGTTAATAGTAAAACAAGATATTTACTACCTGGAAAAATTTGGAATTTTCAGGGAGAGAGAGAGAATTTATTTTTTCTTTACTCCATAATCAGGGATTTTCGTGGAATTTTATTGAGATTCAAGGAAATTTTAGTAATTTTACTTTTAAATTTAAATTCTGAAGACATTTTTTCGAACGAAGAGTTAGAAAAAAAATGCAAAATCTACATCTAACGTTTTTAAGGATGAACCACACATGAAAAGTTGTCATATAAGAAAGAGCATCTATCACAATTTAATGTAAACTGTTGTAACTTCAAATATTGTATTTGTTTTACATTGAGAATGACTCGATCGATATCAAACGCGTCTGTACGAAAGATTGCTCTTTATGTTTATATGTTTTTTAAACATCACAGAAACATTGTTTGGATCGTTAGCTCTTTGATTTATATATATTATTTTAATTTTTTAAATCATTTTTTCTTACTAATGCAAAATGTTGACAATTAGCAATAAATGTTCATGTCTATATACGGGGTGTCCGGAATTTAAATGTCAAAACTTCGGAAGTATGTAAGGGACCGATAAATTAAGAAAAAAGTTCTATATAAATATATTCGTTTTTGCTACGTTTTAGTGAACATCACAAAAAAGACAAAACGTATTTGCTTCGTTCTTGAACGTGAAGAGTAATAATATTTTAGCTACCTCGATCACTTCACATTACTGGACTTCTTTGTATGGAGGGTCAAACTGTTCGTACTGATAATATATACTTATATTTCTGTAAGAGGCCAACATTTTAAATAATATTTACATTAAGCAAGTGAATAAATAATATATCATGAATAAGTAAAAAAAAATTATAAAAACTACTCTTTTCCAAAACGAAGCAAAAATAAGCATATCTCTTTTTTTTCTTAGTTTATCGATCCTCTACACGCAACCGAAGTTTTATCATTTAAATTCTGGACACCCTGTATATTCAAGTACTTTACTGTGTGTCTCATGAGTTTATTTTATTTTAAAAAATCAGAATAAGTGAAAATAACACTTAACGAAATAGAGCTCATGCACTAATACCTATCACATTTACAGCGCGCCTTATCTTTTTTATATTTCTCTCTCTCTCTCTCTCTCTCTCTCTCTATATATATATATATATATAAAACCGCCATATTGGAGCTGCCTATTTAAATTTTTTAAAACGCTACATTTTTCTTTAAATTACATATAAAACGAAAATTTCAAGCCTTTGAACGTCTTATTTCAACTTCACAAATTTTGCCCAGACCCTTGTCCCCGTTGACGTGGAACGTCCTATATATTTATTATTATTATTATTATATAATTACCGTTATTATTATCAATATTTAGTTTATCATGTCGTTGAATATTTATTTCTTACACAATAATAAAAATATAGAAGACTTGATGTAAATGTTAGTTTACTTAAATATCTCATACTATTTACTTTTTTAGTACGGCTTTTCTGCCGCTTAAAACCGCTCGACCGGCACTTTCAATATCTGACAGATCTCTCCTAGGTAATACATTCTGGGTAATACTCTCGCGAATATAATCCACGTATCGCGCTTGAAAATGTTCCGAGTCGAGATATATCCCCAATCATTTTTTCCGTTTCAATATTTCGGTATTTTACGTTGTACGTCGAGTCTTTTTTCACAAAAGAATTAGAGAAAATATTTTTCTATGATACCCTATGCGAAATTCGTTCATTAAATTCGAGATAGTTGCGTGTGAAATTTTTTTAAAAGCATACTGCGCGCACGTGAACGCTGGCCAGATATTCACGTACAGAACAATTCGCTATCCGGATAAACGAACAACGGTATTGTCCAAATAAACGCAGCTCTAGAGTCTTTTTTTACGAGATAATACTTATGCGAGAAATGACGAAGCAGCAGCAGCAGCAGCCGCAGCCGCCGCCGTCGCACAGCCAGCAAGCCCATCGCACCACCGCACTTGAGCACAGCATAATAATATAGCGTTATTTTAACCCCACGGATCATCCTGTAATATATTTTCTATCTAGATATATGTATATCTAACAACAATGGGGCACTGCTCACCTCTCACTCTGTGCCCCTTATCGCAATAATTAAGTACTGCGATCGCATACATTCTCCGCATTAATTCTGCAAGTGTCAAATGCAGCGGTACTCGACCCTTTGACAGTCGAGATTTTCGGACCAACGTGACGAACAATATTATAATCTTCTTTAAATGCTTCAATGATGGATGGAAGAAGCACTATATTAATTTAAAAGCATTAAACTCTTGAACGTATTGGTCAATCTTGTATCGAGGACCGCTGAATTGTATATTGGAACACAACGAAATAAAAAAGGAGAAATATACGAGAAAAGAAGAACGAGAAATGAAATCTCGACCGATACGAGGTGCTTGTCGGTATTCAACACGATCGCAGTAGCCCAAAATGAAATATACTGCATGCGAGAGCCAATACGGCCACTTCACGAATCTCAGCTTCGCATATAGCACCACTTCGTCTTGAATCATGGTGAGCCAGCAGCAGCAACAGCAGCAGCAGCGGCAGCAGCAGCAGCAGTAGCAGCAGCAGCAGCAGCAGCAACCTTGTAGTTCAATTTGGAGCACCAACTCATGTTCACTTCACCCAGCACACGCATATCTGCACTAACACGTTTTTCAGTTTACTTTTCTCTCTTATTTGATTTTGAGCGCCACTAATCCCTTGGCACCGACTTCCCGATGTGACGCTCGCATCTCGTGTTTCGTTTTCTCCTTTCGTCTCCTTTTTTCTTCTTCCCCGCTCTCTCGTCACCGTCGTCACCGAAAATTCGTATGCCACCTATCCACCCTGCCTCGCACCGAGACGAATCGGTCTCGTTTGATCCGAACGTTCGCCGGAATAATCGATTCCCGATACGAAATCGTTATTAAATTGAAAGGAGGAGGAAGGATCGCATTTATCGAATTTGAATTAATAGGCAATCAGATGTCGCAGTCAAAGTATTTAAATTAAGAAGAAGAAAGCTTAAGCGTTTCCCCAGCTCTGAAATGTGATTTTAAAAATACAGTACCTCTCTCTGGAAGAAAGACTTTTGTTATTTTTCTCACTAAAATAAATTGTAGCGATAAGTCCGTGTCTTCATTATTACGCGTGCTATACTATTCTTTGTTGATTCTATTATCTAACACATAGACCAACTGCTATACGGTTATTCGGTAAGAAATAACAAATTTATCTATGCAGCCTGATTTTCACAATAATAAGTGTATCCTTCATCCGCTCGACCCTTCGATTATTAATCACGGGTTAACTGATAACATGCTTGCAAGCGCATAAATGCATGGCGCATTATGCAAATGAATGCGCGAATAATTCGACGCGCAAACGTTCGGCTCGGGCGGGACGCGCATTTTGCGCACCTTGTGCATATTTGTACGCAACAATTGATCGTGCACATTCGTATGTGGTATTGAATTCGCACAGCACCGTTTTATCGTATCACGTATATCGCTCTGTTCTCTCTGTGATCATCACGGTGTTTATCGCCGATATATTATTTTACGCCGATGGAAAAATCTCTCCATCGCGCGCGCACGTTGCAGTCTCTCCACCCTCTGCGTCTCTCTTCCATCTGTTTCTTTGTCGTGAGACAGACGGAGAAACAGAGGCAAGAAGAAAGATGAACTAAAAAAAAGCAAGCAATTCACCAATACATTTGGCGGACAATCCGTAATTTTTATCAGCGAAAGTTTTGCGCCGTTTGTCCGCAATTCCGAGAGGACACTCCAGTTCTCTCCCTCGCGCACCTTTAAATCCTATTTCTCTTTACTTTTACGGTATAGCTGAAGTAGGAAGTTGCAGTAGGCCAATCCTCTCCTCGAGAACTTTTCGCTCTTGCCTCAGCGCAATAAGCTTAGATAGAGAAATGTACGACGGGATCCGGAAGAGCATCCCCACACGAATTCAGCGCTCTCAGTAAAACGCGACATTTCATCAAGATTGAAAATTTAATAGCCGCACAATAAACTATTTTTCC